AGTGTGGGAAATGTTTAAAGTTTTACCATTCCCAAGAACTATTTCATCTGGGCCACCATAATCTGATACACTTTGGAGGTTGGATCGGTCACCTGTAACATGATTGGATGCACCACTGTCAAACAACCAGGGTGGAGACACAGTAGAAGAGCCTGTCATGGTTACATTTGCTACTGGTGGAGCTTGCTGCAGATTAGTGAGAACCACATTGTTTTCTCGAAGAAATCTGGCCAGCTTTCGGCACTCAGAGGTCATATGACCTGATATATTACAGAATTGACAAAAAGTGTTGGATTTGGGCTGTCGATTACTACTAGTATTGGAGGACCAGTTGGGGCGATTTGTGGGTCCACGTTGCTGCTGAGTAGAGGAGCGATTTTTGAAGCTGCCACGTTGGTAGTTGGAGTTGTCTGATCTTCCATGGGAACAATTAGATTGGCGAGCAGTGTAATCAACAGTGGTGACTACCGGAGTAGTAGAGATTGTGTGCTCTTTTAGGGCTCGCTCAAAGTCTTGTAATTTATCAAATAGTTCAGAATAAGAAAGTGGGTTTTCTCTGATTTTGATGGCAGCTACGATGGTGTCGTACTAGTTGGGAGAGGATGTGAACCAGTAAGTCTTCCTCTGAAACAGGGCTCTGTGCGAGAGCTAGGTCATCAGCAATTGACCTCATATCTTGAAGAAACTCAGCAATTGATCGATCCCCCTTTGGATTTTTAACAAGTTTCGATTTTAGGGATATAACCCTAGATCGAGAGGCGCTGGCAAAACTGGTAGTGAGGCGTTCCCAGACTTCTTTGGATGTGGTAGCAGATGAGATTAAAGGCTGAATTGAGTCTGAACAGCAGCCAAGAATGGCACTGATGATAGTCTGATCTTGACGATACCAGATGAGATACTCTGGATTCGTTTTTGACGCGGAGCTGTCTTTGTCATTCAAGTGTTTGCTCGGAGGTGGCTGGTCACCAGTGATGAATGAATCGAGATCTAGTCCGATTAAAGTAGCTTCAACCTGTCGTCGCCAGACAGGAAAATTGTTGGCGGTGAGTTTGATTGGAAAGTGAGTAGCAGCAGTGACTTGAATAATTGTTTTGGCCATCGTGTGTGTGAGACCGAGAGACAAGAAAAAGATGAGGCGGAAGTGTGGGATCAACTCGTGAGAGCAATTATGGGCTCTGATACCATATCAAGGTATACTGAATATGTATTTCTATTTTTAATAAATGAAATCAATGTTACAGAGATGGCTTTATAGCCAGAATACAACAATTAACTAGGAGCTAAAACAGGAGATAGAATCGGTAAACTATTGACTAGTTATTTACATATAAAATAAATACTATAAATTAAATGTAATTTATCCATGTGCCTTAATAGTATATATGTAGTGAGATGGCTTATTTAAGCTAGTGTAAATTTATATAATTTGCAATAAAATAGAAATGTCTCCTCTTTTTAAAGAAATGACATTTATTTATTTTTAAGCACTATTAATGGTTTATTTTGACAATAAATTAGTTAGCGTTGTGTTTGTGATGTTTAATTTATCACACATTAGTCTTCTCAAACCGTATTTATATAATAATAAGAAAATTCCAAAATTTTGCATCGTTAGACAAGCTTTTTAACAAGTTGAGATATTTGGAAAGTGGTTATAAATTAAAATGTCTCACATATATTTTATCATTCCATTATTTTATTCTTGGTTCATAATATAATAATTTTATTGCAGTTGTTTGGTCGGCGCATTCTGACCTGAAATTACCAATTGTTACACGTGGTCCCATCATAAGGCTTCATGCTTGGAGTTTGGAAGCACTTTGGGACCTTGGTGTCAGTCATCGCAGGAGAGAATCTTGAGATCTTGTGGCTTGTTGGGGAGACTTCCGGTATAGGTTGGACTACTCCGGGTACGCCTTAGATCATTTGTCACAGTCGTTGAAGTTCTTTAGCCATGGTCGGGCTCATTCCTGCATCAACGCCCATAGAGTTAGTAGTAAAGGTATTACTATTGACAAAGTTACCGGGATCCTTGTTATCGGTAGTGACGAAGGTTTCGCCGGGATCTCGGGTCGTATGCGCTTGCTCTTTTGGAGTTGCACCCCAAGTAGGAGCAGAGGCTGGTGTCGAGGATCCTATCTCGCGGTGGTTTGTCGAGGATCCCGTATTGTCAAAGTTCAGGATCTTGGGCTGCAAGATCGAGGGTGCTGCTTCTTGAGGCCTGTGGATCTCTGCCCTCATTTTCTCCATTTACTTGAGTATCGTCTTGTTGTCCTGCTGCTGCTGAGTGACTTGTCGTTCCGATCTCTTCATCATAGCGAAGATTTCGTTATTGGAAATCAATACAAGAGGGTCTTAAAATCCTTGGGTAGCGACTAGAGAGGTGTTTTTCTTCGGTGATTCTAAGGTTTTCTTGGGAGCTCCACCTGGGGGTGGAGGAAGATTTTTGGAGGAAATGGGAGGAATGGAGGAAGTGGATAAGGTCGGTTGGGTAGACATGATTCTCTAACGATTATGAACACCACGACCCCACGGTGGGCGCCAAATTGTTTTGGTCAAAAATTAATCAAGTGTAATTCGACCAAATTGTATGAAAGGCTGTGGTGTTAGTGCAATGTAAGTGTAAAATAATGATCAAAGTAAGACAAGTGAATTACAAGGAAAACCCTTGATCATTTATAGGATCTCCAACATAAAACATTGGGAGGTGATAATGATCATCTGCCTTGATGTGTTTTATTGATTTAAAACTAAAATTACAAAGATGATGAAGGTGATACGAGTACAAGTGTAATAGTGGAGCTAATCGTCTATCTAGTGTGTGATTTACAAGTGTTATTTATAGTCTAAGCTAATCAACAAGTCCAATTTTCGGGATCCTCCTTGAACAGGTATTTACATGTTGTTTAACTTAGTATCCCCGGATCTTAAGCTCAATTAAAGTGACTTTCCGTTGAGAATGTGTGTTGTGTTGACTAATTCTGCACATGTGACGAAAATAAAGGAAAATATAGCCATTATAAGTGTTAGAAATATTAGTGGTAATAATCAGGATCCTGAGATATATTTAAGGATCCCGAGTCTTCAGAAATATTTAAGGATTCTTAATATGATTCAAAGATCCTGTCCCTAACAATGATATTTTTGTTTAAAGTAAAAGTTAAAATTTTATACTTTAGAATAGAACTTTTTTCTTTTTATTCAAAATTTTTGTTAAAGCTTTCAAAAATCCAGGGCAAACCTACCTTTAATCGTTCAAAATCAAACATAAAATCAAACCATTAATAATCTCTGAAATAACTTAGTACCTTAAGCTTCACAGAGTGGGAGTGGGCATCGGTCGGCAAATCCGACGTGGGGTCGATGAACACCGAGCCATGAACTCGGCATGCCGAGTTTAGTGGCCAAACTATGTTTGGCTGAGGTGGAGTTCGGTGCATTCGAGACCATTCCTCCCAATCTTATAGAAAATAGAGTATGTCATCTTAACAACCATATAAAAATAAATGATTAATTAAATAATCGAATTTAAGTGGGAGTTGTTGGGCTATAGCATATAATAAACTAAAGTCGTATAAAAGTTAAGAAAAAACTACAAACCCATATATTCCCATGCGCTTCGCACATGCATACTTTAAAAAATAAAAATTTGTTAATAATCGAACTATTTTGAATAAAGATTGTACTGTTTTGTAGTGTAATATATATAACTTATTTTTCTTTTTTTTGTTATTTTAATACATAACTTGAAAAAGATTGTGATAATGTGTACCTTTATCGAAAATCCAAGTTTCTCAAATGATATCAATGGATGATGGTTAGAAAATAGAAGTGGTCATCAAAAATGTTAAAGATCTCAGATCTTGTATTCGGTCTTTGGTGCTATCATCATTTAATTCATAATAAATTATGTAAATTTTTCATTTGAATATTTAATATTTTAATTTATCAAATATTCGATCAACCTGACACAGAGAGAAAGCAGTTGAGGGACTATGATATACAATTTGTCTTTTAAGGAAGGCTTCCTTCTACCCATGTGCAGCAAATGGGGTCTTGTTTTAAAAACGAGATACAACATTATAGTAGAGCATCTTGTTTTCGTATTAATAATCCATAAATTTTGTATATCATTTCATAAAGTTATTTATTTTCTAACATAACAATTATACAATAAAATCCGAAATTTAAAATGTTACATTAATCGAGTTTGAGCTTATCCTAGCGTTGTTGAGTTGAGCTCAAGCTTATCTCAACTCGTTTACAACACACTTCTATTTAGTAAATGTTCAAGGATTTTGATTATCAGAGGTTACGACCAAATACTTCATAAAAAAGATAAACAATATCCTCTCAAGGTCCATCCCACTTGATCCCAGGTCACATTACACCGATAGTAGATCATAAACCACTAACAATACTTTGATCAGATCGTGCAAGATTTAAAAACTAAATCTTATTTATTGAACTTTAGACCTCATTTGTTAATTAAAATGTTAAACATCATAAAAGAAAATTCTTATAGAAGTAGAAATTATATTAAGTTGTTAATAATGATTTGACATTTTAAAAACATCACGGTAAATTAAAAATAATCAAAAATTTAAATTAATTAATAATTTAAATAAATTTACATCGAAAATTATACACAACTATGAGGTGATGCCATTAAAATCATATAATTCTAAAATAAATATTTGTTTTAACAAAATTTAACTCAAATTTTTATTTTCTTAATTATATTCCATCATTGATATAAATAACGATAATATTTAATAGGAAATTTTATATGTATCCAAAGTTGCTTTGTATAGAGAATTTAATAGTGTTTATGTATTTATTATGATTATGATTTGATGATTTATGTGAATAAGAGTACTGTAATAACACCCTATTTAATATCAACATTTTACATTACTTCAAAAACTATTATTTCATAATTAAAATAATTTAGTTGTTTTTAACAACATAATTTATTCATATTTTTTATCAACATAATCATTTTATTCCTGTCATACAGCCATAGTAATGCCAATAGTATTCATCATAGGACTGGCGTCTGTGCAAATTTCTACTGAAGCAGACATGGAATCAAAAAAGAGGAAAAAAACAGCGAACGCATGTTTTCATGCACACTGATTGAGAAGACGACGACGTCGGTTGGAGTAAGAAATCGGTGAAAACTTGTTTTCTCCATGCTCAGACGATTGACATGATGGCTATGAATGTTATTCATCCAGCTGTTCTTATCTAACAAGACGATAGCGGAAGCGGCGTGCAAATGAGACCTAATTGGAAGAAGCCAAAAACTTGGGGAAAATTCTGACATATCTGATAGGGGAAGAATGCTGCTGTCATCGATTCGTCATTTTCCTTTTGGAATTTATCTGTAGGTGTCTTTCCTACCACCATGAATTTTTGACATGATACATGCGTAATGCATTTGTCTTCTTCTCGGCCGAACTTGCTAAATCAATTCACCACACGAGTACCTGATCATGTGCTACTTCTACTAATCGAACGTGAGGTTCATGTATTTGTGCTACTAGTGGTGGTGGTGGTTGTCAATGGCGGATTGAAATTTGAAGAAATTGTTGGATCGGAGATATTCAATGGCTCCTATGAGAATTTTACTTGGTACCTTCATCTTCGCTCTCCGTTTTTTGACTATGTTTAATTTCGCTAACTAGCATCAATTGTTTATGGAGATAATTGTGATGTCTTGATTGTGTTTGTTTATATGACTTGCGATTTTCATTGCGTGTTTTACCTACATCCACACATAAACATCCAAAATTGCTGCAATTCAACTCTGCTGATTAATCTATATGAATATTCATTAAGATTTGATTAATTGATTGTCACCTCATTACCATAATTTCTAACATTGTTGATGCAGCTGCTAACTATTAGTTTATGGACAGGGGGTGATTTTGATTTGCTTTCACCAGCCACACAAATAAGTATTTCAGACATCTTCAACTTGGCGTTTGTCTTTATCTTCTACCTTTTGCTACTCGTAAGTTATCTTAGGAAAAGTAACACCAACAGATTCAGGGGAAGAAGTGATTGGATATCACTCTCAGTTGCATTTTGTTGTCTTCTTACTTGTGTTGCATATGCTATTGCTGGTTTATGGGAGGCAACTGCTAAAACCCCTCAATGGAGTTGGTGGGTTTTGATTGCTAGAGCTTTTGTTTGGGTATCTTTGATGGTTTCATTGCTTGTAGAAAGATTCTCACCAATGACGATTCTGGCTTCTGTTTGGTGGGTTTTCTTTTTCGTGTCAATTTCTGTTGTGAACATCATGTGTTTGGCAGATAAACAGAGCATAAGCATCTTGGTTTTGATGGAATGGGTTGCTAGCTTCTTGCTTTTTTTATGTACTTTAAGAAACATAAAACACTTTGTCAACCAACAAACGTCAAACCAGACGTTATCAGAGCCCTTATTGGTTGATGAAACACAGGAAGAAGGGCATACAAGCCAACTGGAAGAGCCAAGTTTTCTCAGTAAATTGGTATTTTCTTGGGTGAACTCATTGCTTGCATTAGGTTATAGAAAACCATTAGTTCTTGAAGATATTCCATCTCTAGCATCCGTAGACCAATCATCCACAGCCCATGAGAAATTCACCAAGGCATGGGATTCACTTCAGAAGGAAAAGACCACAAACAATGGTAACTTGGTTCCTAAATCATTAGCCAAAGTTTATTTCCTAGAGATGGTTTTATCAGGACTTTGTATCTTTCTTAGGACTCTATCTGTTGTCATTAGCCCATTGTTACTCTATGCCTTTGTTGACTACTCCAAAAGTGACACACAAGATCTACATCATGGACTCTTGTTAGTAGGGTGTTTGATTGTAGTAAAGGTAGTAGAGTCATTAACTCACCGACAGTTTTTCTTTAATGCAAGAAGAACTGGTATGAGGATGAGATCTGCTTTAATGGTGGCAGTCTATGAGAAGCAACTCAAGCTTTCTGTTCTAGGAAGGAGAAGGCATTCGACAGGGGAAGTTGTAAATTACATAGCAGTTGATGCTTACAGAATGGGTGATTTTCCTATGTGGTTTCATATAGGGTGGTCATGTTTCCTCCAACTATTTCTTGCTATTGGTGTCTTGTTCTCTGTAGTAGGGGTAGGTGTTCTTCCTGGTTTAGTACCCCTTTTAATATGCGGGCTTCTTAATATTCCATTTGCAAAAGCTATTCAAAACAGTCAGTTGGAGCTTATGGTAGCTCAGGATAAAAGATTGAGATCCACTTCTGAGATCTTAAACAACATGAAGGTCATAAAGTTACAATCTTGGGAAGAAAAATTCAAGAAATTAATTGAATCTTGTAGAGAAACTGAATTCCATTGGCTTAGAGATATTCAATTCAAGAAAGCATATGGCACGGTTTTGTATTGGATGTCACCAACACTCGTTTCTTCATTTGTATTTTTTGGATGCGTGATTTTGAAGAGTGCTCCTTTAGATGCTGCCACTATTTTTACAATTTTGGCAGCATTAAGGAGTATGGCGGAGCCCGCGAGGGTTTTCCCTGATGCACTTTCTGCATTAATCCAGGTCAAAGTATCCCTTGACCGGATCAATTCTTTCTTAGTTGACGATGAACTTAAAGATAACAGAATGGAAAGAGACCAAGAACTTGAAAGTTCCCATGATGATGCTATCATAATCCAGAATGGGAATTTCACTTGGGAACCGGAATCACCCATTCCAACTCTTCAAAATGTAAATCTTGAAGTGAAGCATGGGCAAAAAGTTGCAGTTTGTGGGTCAGTTGGTGCTGGAAAGTCATCTTTGCTATATGCTATACTTGGAGAAATATCCAAAACATCAGGAACAGTAAGTTCACAAACTCATTTTTAATTTCTTTTATAAAATCATTGTAATTTTATATGAAGTTGAGTGTCATTTTTGTTTTTTTTTTTTGCTTTTCCAGGTGGGTGTATCTGGTTCAATCGCGTATGTTAGTCAAACATCTTGGATTCAAAGCGGGACAATTCAAGATAACATATTGTATGGGAAGCCGATGGAGAGAAGTAAATATGAAAAGTCCATAAAGGCGTGTGCTTTGGATAAGGATATTGAAGCTTTTGACCATGGAGATTTAACAGAAATAGGACAAAGAGGGCTTAACATGAGTGGTGGACAGAAACAGAGGATTCAACTTGCTCGAGCAGTTTACAATGATGCTGACATCTATCTTCTTGATGACCCTTTCAGTGCTGTAGATGCACATACATCAGCAACTCTCTTTAATGTAAATTTTCAACTTGTTAATTTAAATCAAATTGGTGTTATTAGTTTGTCCTGTTTAGCTACTCTCTTAATCTTTGGATATTAAACTTCTGGATCTTTTGCTTCAGGATTGTGTTATGACCTGTTTAAAGAAGAAAACCGTCATTCTTGTCACTCATCAAGTGGAGTTTCTCTCATCTGTTGACAATATTCTGGTAATCAGAATAACAAGTCTATAAATTTACTTACACATGATGGCTTTATTATATATCGGTTTTAAGTCTATTTTACCATTTGATTTGTATTTGATTCTTCTTTCCCTTTTAAGGTTATGAAAGACGGTCAAGTTACACAATCAGGAAACTATGAGGAGCTGTTGATGGCAGGAACAGCATTTGAAGAGCTTGTGAATGCTCATAAAGATGCCATTACAGGTTTAGAGCCTTCGCCTTCTGAAAACAAAAATGAAGTACTAAAACCAGGCATGGAGAATAGTGATAATAAAAGTTATCTCAGTAAAGGAAACAGTGAGGGGCAATTGGTAACAGGAGTGCAGTTGACTGAAGAGGAAGAGAAGGAGATTGGAAATGTTGGATGGAAGCCTTTCTTAGATTACATTGTCATCTCAAAAGGATTATGGCTCTTGTCTTTGTGTGTATTAAGCCAATCCAGTTTTGTTGTTCTTCAAGCAGCAGCAAGTTATTGGCTAGCATTTGGTATTCAAATCCCTAAAATCACTAACATCATGTTGATTGTTGTTTACACTTTGCTCTCAACCTCTAGCACCTTTTTTGTGTATCTGAGATCACTGCTTGCTGCCCTTTTGGGATTAAAAGCCTCCAAATCATTCTTTACTAAATTTACCGATTCGATTACACGTGCTCCCATGGTCTTCTTTGATTCTACTCCAGTTGGACGAATTCTTACAAGGGTAAAGAGTTGTTTGGTAACTAAATTTAATTAATTATTTTTCTACCCTTTTGGTAACATATTTACAATCTTGTGTCAGGCCTCATCTGATCAAAGTGTGATTGATTTTGACATACCCTTTGCGTTTGTGTATTCGCTTGCTGCTGGTATTGAACTACTTGGTATGATTTTCATTATGGCTTCAGTGACATGGCAAGTTCTTATTGTAGCCATCTTCGGTATTGTGGCTTCAAAATACGTTCAGGTGAATACTTTATATCTTTTTTTTTAATCATATAAAAGCTGAAGTCTTTGTTAACACGAGTATATCTTGTTGAGAATGACAGGGATATTATCAGCCAGCAGCAAGGGAACTAATGAGAATCAATGGAACCACAAAAGCACCTGTGATGAATTACGCATCTGAAACGTCACTTGGAGTGGCAACAATACGAGCATTCAAGATGCAAGACAGGTTTTTTAAGGATTATATGAGGCTAGTGGATAGAGATGCAAGTAGTTTCATTTTCTCAAATGCAACATTGGAATGGTTGGTTTTGAGAATAGAAGCCCTTTCGAACCTGACCTTGTTCACAGCTAGTTTTCTCCTGGTTTTCATACCAAAGGGTTTTGTGCCTCCAGGCATGTGATTTCCACTTCCCACTGGCCACTGCTGTTGATAGACAACATTACATATATATATATATATATATATATATATATATATATATATATATATATATATATAACTGGATAGTTGAATTAATCTTTTTAATTATATAGGTTTGGTTGGGCTATCTCTTTCTTATGCACTGACATTGACGGGTACCCAAGTGTTCTTGACTAGATGGTATTGTAGCTTGGCCAATTATGTGATTTCAGTAGAACGGATCAAACAGTTTATGAACATTCCATCAGAGCCACCAGCAGTTGTGGAGAACAATAGACCACCCTCATCTTGGCCTTCCAAGGGAAGGATACAGTTCCAGGATCTAAAGGTAAAACTTGTTTTAATCATGTTTTGAGCCAAACCCATTACCTGATTCGTCTATATATTATTCCAAATTCCATCTACATGCATGTTTTTTTAAAATGTTTAATTTGTGGTTTCAGTTGAGGTATCGTCCAAACGCACCACTAGTACTGAAAGGTATCAGCTGCACATTTGAAGAAGGGAAAAGAGTAGGCATTGTTGGAAGGACAGGAAGTGGGAAGACAACACTCATAACAGCCTTATTCCGTTTGGTTGAAGCTGATAGTGGTCGGATCCTTATTGATGGACTTGACATTTCCTCTCTTGGCCTTAAAGATCTCAGGATGAAACTGAGTGTCATCCCCCAAGAACCAACCCTTTTTAAGGGCAGCATCCGAACAAACCTCGACCCTCTAGGACTTCATTCTGATGATGACATATGGAAGGTAACCAAATCATCTATCTATATAATCTTTATTTGTTTTGTATTCAATAATGTTCATGGTTATTCTAATGGATTTCCATTTCCAGGCATTAGACAAGTGTCAACTTAAAACTACCATCATGAATCTTCCACATTTGCTGGATTCCTCAGGTGTGTGTGTGTCGACCTTAATCATACCAACCAAATCTATTACAAAAAGAGTTTAAGGTAGTATTTAGTATGATTGATCGCCCGAGAAGGAATGGAATGTATGAGCTTTTAATATAACTTTTTTGGGGTTTAGTGATTGTGTTTTTGGTAAATCAAAACTTTATCATATGTTTGTTTGACACAGTGAGCGACGAAGGAGAGAACTGGAGTGCTGGGCAAAGACAACTGTTTTGTCTTGGAAGAGTTTTACTGAGAAGAAACAAAATCCTGGTGCTGGATGAAGCGACTGCATCCATTGATTCAGCCACAGACGCCATTTTACAGAAAATCATAAGGGAAGAATTCTCCACTTGCACTGTCATAACTGTCGCTCACAGAGTTCCAACAGTCATAGACAGTGACAAGGTCATGGTCCTCTCATTCGGTATGTATGCTCCTCGATGTTTTCTATAGTCTATACTATATATGCATATATGTCAAAATGAAATAAACAAAACTAATTTGCAGGAAAAATGGTGGAGTATGATGAGCCTTCAAAGCTACTGGAGACTACTGATTCTTTCTTCTCCAAGCTTGTAGCTGAATACTGGTCCAGTTGCACAGCAAGGAACTCTGCCTAATTAATTAATTACATGCTTGGTATGGGTGTTACAAGTGTAGCCGAGTCTATTAGTACGAAATTTTTGCTTGCTTATATAGATATATATATATATATATATATATATATATCTATATATATATATATATATATATATATATATATATTAATTTGTGGCTCAAACTCAAATAATTATATCATCATAATAATAGTGTTTTAGCTCGAACCTGATATTGTTTTAATAGATTATAGTTGATTACATTTGTAATAGTAAATTACAGAAATGGTTCCACCTACTCCAATCAGTGATTCTCCTTCCTCTTCCTGTTGCCATTTTGGTGAAGACACAGAGACGTCTTGCCTTGAAATTAACCTCAGCCACTCCTGACTGAAACCTCCAAGATTAGAACTTGGGACCTCCCTTATGAGGAGCTAGTTCCTTTAGCAGGTGAGCTATCTGGTAATGGTTAAATAAGAGAGTTGGAATAATGATGATAAATCTGATTGTAGCCTCAGATTTTGATTTTGAAGAAACTATTAAGAACAAAAAGGGCGTTTTTGTAATGTGAAATCTTTTATAGCATTAAACCTGATCAATTAAAGATAAAGCACCCTGAAAAGCAAGCAAATCAAGCCCAGAACTGTAGAAAACATTTGCTACGGAGTTCATCAGATGAAAAATGCCATTGAAAACACCAGAAATCAAGAAAATATGATCAATACACGAGGCTCCATTTGAAACATGTTTTGTTCCCTGATTTGTTGAAAACAAACAAAATGAAACGGGAGAGTAGTGGGGGTCTTCTTCGTAAGCCATTTGAAATCATCCGAGGAAGAGAAACAAGGAAAACAAGAAACAAAGAGAACCTTAGAAGAGGTCCCGCCAGTGTTGCCAACCTTCTCTGGTCAACCTCTGCAACAATAATAGGAACAAAGACGTCATTTTACATAGACTAGGAACCAAAACCGCAACAAAATTCAAACTAAAGGACTGAGTCATTACAAAAAGAAGTTTGTACCGAAACCGTAAAGTTTTTTTTATCAACCATAAGGACCATTTATATATGAGCTTATATAACCTAGATTGGCTTCACTTGTCTTGAAAATCTTAAAAACAAGTTTTCCAATGATTTGAGTCCAACATAGTGAAATAAAGCTTGACTAAAGTTCAAAAAAAGTTGAGAGACTAAATTGCGAAAGTGGTAAAAATCCGTTGTATTAGTTGAAGTTTTGGAATTTCTGAAAGGATTTGTGTTATGTAAATTACATAAATAAAACCAACTTGCATTGTAAATTTCATGGAAAAAAAAAACTCCTAGGCCATGGAGTGGGATCAACAAATTAAAGGATTCACATTCCTTATGAACGGGTTCATTGTATTCCAAATGATTGGACAATCAACTTTTACTTTCTTATACTGATGAATGTAGCATTCCCTTCTTTCTCCTATTCCTTGCTGACACACTTGATCATGAAATGGAATAAATCATTCATTCCATTAACTTGCTTGCTTATTCTATTACCATGTTTTTACAAAGAGAGAATTGTGAAAAGAAGGATATCTTTGATTAATCAAAAATATATCTGTTACATCACTATATATACAAGCAGTAAAAAGGCATTGTAATAACAACGAACTAAACAACTCATCTAATAGATTGTAACTGACTATAACAGTTAATTACTATTTTGCCCTATATATAAGATAATTACAGAAATGCCCTTGTTCATACTCTAATACATGTCCGTTATATTCCTTCGTCCTTGCATACCTCCCTTGTTTGTCTTGAAATTGAGATGTCAAATAAGAAAGACTGAAAAGCTCAATTATTTTCTCATTCAAATCACATATATAATATAGGCATATGTGCAGGGCCGTACAAGCCAATTTGAGGCCTTGGGCAAAATAAAAAAATAGGCCCTTTACATATAAAAAGATTTGGAAAAGGGAGAAAAAGCTTTCTTAAACAAATTTATTAATTAAAAAAATTAATACAAAAATGCAAAGATCTAACATGAATTAGTTACAACAAATTTTAGCTTACTCTTTCTTTTACACATGTAGTTGAAGACGGAACATGAGTTAAGTTCAAAAAAAAAAAATGAGTCAAGTACGCCTAATCTTCAAAATTTCATATTGTATGTAGTATAATCAACATGTTATATCACTTTATAACACATTCTTCTATTTTGTAAAATAAATTACTGTCAAAATATCACCATTTTACATGATATGATATTAGACTTAACGCCTCGTTCCCGAGTTTAACAAAAGAAAAGAAGAGAAGAGAAAAGAAAGTCACGAGAGAAAAGAAGAGAAAGGAAAAGAAAACAAAATTTTCTTTTGTGTTACCGAGTTGGAGAGAAGTGGAAGGAAAATGAATCATTTTTGTTCTTTCTTTCCAAATTCTCCCAAATCGGAAGGAAAGTTAGGAGGGAAAGTGATCCTCTCATTTCCCTCCACTTCCTTCCACTTCTCTCTTTTAATGAAACTTGGGAACACCAATTTCTTTTATTTTCTTTTCATTTCCACCTATTTCCTTTCCTTTCTCTCGTTAAGTTGAACTCGGGAACCGGGTGTTAAGGTTCAACAACATGCAGAAAGGGTAAAAAGAAAAACCATGGAGTTGAAACCGCATCTTGCTAATAACATAGTAAAAATATTTTCTTTTCCTAAGCATCCCCTTCATAATGGTTAGAACTGAAATGAGAATAACATAAAATAAGTGGTGTCCAATCAAACGTATTTGAGCATGTGGGTGAAACATTAAATTCACATGCAAACTTCATATTTCACGAAAAAATATTTGTCATTCATTCACGGATCCAATCACTAAACAAAAGAAAGTGATCCCTTAAGGAAATTTGCTATGATGGATCTGGAAACGTTATTTGAGCTTTTCACATTCAGCTCGTGGAGATCACTATCTAACATGACATTCCAACACCTACGAATGTCAAGATGCATAAGAGACTATGAACAAACAAACAAGATGCTAAGACAGTTGATTCTTTTCATAGAAACAAAAAGAAAATAGAGGAAGAAGATGGCAAATTTTTGGTATTTTCTTAGCTATTTATGAAACAAACAAAATGTCGGTTGATTCTATAAACAAACAAATAGAGGAACAAGATGGAAATTTTTTGGTTTTTTCTTACCTATTTATGAAACAACCAAGATGTCATTATGGCTAGTTCACCTCTTGAAACTGGTGTAAAGACGTGTACAACGAGGAGACACGTTTATGGTGCATCTTGAAAAATGAAGCATCATCTATTTGAATGGCACACCCACAAAAAAAAACTAAGTTCAATTTATTATGCAAGAATCGAATAGGATCTCTGGGTCGCTAATTACCTAACCATCTCAACTACGTGTTTCTTTCTTTTTTGTGTTGTATCTTTTATTTTATATCATCACAAAACTATATATACATATCCTAATCATAACTGGTAAGGGCCCCGAATTTGGCGAGGCCCGAGGCGGTCGCCCAGCTTGCCCGTGCTCTAGGGTCGGCCCTGCATATGTGAGTAAATAGAACAAATACCATAAAGGAACACTATCTCTAAATATTCTTCAATAGAGGAAACACAATAGAGGAAACACTATATTCTATATTCTTCGCTCCCCTTTATGTTGGGCTCTTCATAGTATTATTGAAGTTGCTTATTGGAAGGGATTTGGTGAGAATGTCAACAATATGAAAATATGAAGGAACATATATAAGATAACTCCAAAATTCTAGCTTCTAACTAATCTTCAATAAAAATGGCTATTAATTTCCACATGTTTAGTTTGATCACGATGAATAACATTTCTAGCTATCTCAATTATAGCTTTTGTTGTCAACATGATATTCAGTCGTGAACCACTTGATGTTTGCATGCAGAAAATGGGAATGAAGAATGCAAGAGATTTGAGCTTAAGGAAGGAATTTGTTGGATTAAATCTCAGATCAGATGTCAACCGAGTGCATATGAATTTCAGAAGATATTTTAAGTTGCTGCAAATTTTTCATGTACTTAGGATCCTTTGCAGTTATATGTTGGTCGTGCCAATGGGTAGGGCAACATGGGCGATGCCCTAAAGCCTCCAAATTTCTCGGACCTCATTTTTATATACTTTATATGTTAGTATATATATATATATACTAGGTTATAACCTGTGGGAACCACGGTTAACAAATAAAAAAAATATTGATACTTCATGGTTTATTTAACTATCAAGCAAATGTCAGCATTTTCATAATGGGTATTGGGAAATCTCAATGATATATAATACTGTAACATCCGGATACCCAGGTATCTTATTTTGAGTATTTTGTTGAATTTTAGAAAGGGACTCGGCGAGTAGGCGCTCAGACTCGCCGAGTGGAATCGCGCTTCTGCCAGCCTGGATTTAATGAAGGGACTCGGCGAGTCCTCGCTGTTAAATGAAGCCCTAATTTTCGGGGCTTGTGCCCTATTTAAAGGCCCTTATGGCCGTCATTTGAGGCCACCTTGTTCCAGAGAAACCCTAGAGAGAGTGAGGAAGGCTTGAGTGCAAGAAAGGGCTTATAATCTTCATTTTGGGGTGATTTTTGCTAGAGAAAGAAGAGAGGATCCATCTAGAATGTGAAGGGAGCTTGGATTGGAGCTAATCATCTTGAGATATTGTCTCTGGAGGTAAAATCCCTTCTATTTCGTATTGTTATGATAGATTTCATGATTTTAGGGTTTTTACCTCCCTTTTTTATAAGATCTAGTGAGTATGAGGTCCCCTTTGTGTTGATGATATCAGATCTGGACCTTGAGAGGTCCATAGAGTCACTACCTTCTAGCTTTTTGCAAGCAAATAAGCAATTGGAGACTAGGTTGCCATTTCTAGTGATATTTCTCCATTTGAGGCTTGATATGGGTTGCATGCACGTAAAGGTTGCACCTTTACGTGACTTTTGAATGTTAGAAGGATGGATCTACTATTTGGTGAAGCAGATCTGACCTCAAGAGATCTTTTGAGAGTTTTCATGGGAGGAACTCGCCGAGTCCATAAGGGACTCGACGAGTCAAGTCGGGTTGCCCCGTGACTCGCGATCTGTAACGACCCGGGGAGTAT